CTCTGTCAGGGTGCGCTCTGTCGCGTGACTCCCCGTTCAAGATAATATTGAGACTATGAAGTTCCAACGCACATTTGAAAACAAACTTTCCGTTGTCCCCCCTTTTTCTATGAGGAATAATTCTTCAGCGCAATCTGTTGGCTTGGATGCAAAGCCTCTTTTAGTGCAGTACCCACCAGATATAGCTCCATGGAACAACTGCAACATACATTGCGACCTCACACTTACCAAGTATAACAAAAAGGATGTTCCACAGGAAGTCATAAGGCAGGACTTCTTTGAGCTTCAGACCAGATATCACGAGTATGCAAGTTTTTATACAGACAGGTCAAAAAAGACTCGGTAGTAAGCTGTGCTATGGTGGGACCACCGGTATATCAGGCAAAGAGAATAAATTCAAAAGCCTTTTTACTAACAGCAGAGTTTTGTGGTTTGCTGCTGGCTGTTGATAACATAATCAAAACACGACTTTCCCACGCTGTAATCTCTACTGACTCTTTAAGCTCTCTGAAAGCAGTCGCATCAATGAACCGTGTAAAAAACCCACTGGTTTCTGACTTAAATTACAATATTATCCGGGCTGCAAAGAAAAATCTTGACATAGTCGTATGCTGGGTTCCGAGCCATGTTGGCATTCTTGGAAATGAAACAGCTGATTGTGCAGCCAGCTCTGCTAATGATAGAGAAATTGACACAAACCTAATACCCAAAGATTACCCCAACTCTCTGAAATGTTACATCAAAGCAAAGTGGCAGCTGCCGTGAAACAACGAAACCGTCAACAAACTACACTCAATCAAACCTTTTCTAGGCGAGTGGGAGAGTGCCCGACATCGGGAGCGCTTTTATGACGTCATACTCTGTGGGTTACGAATCGGTCATACTCGTCTCCCACATGGACACCTCTTGAGTGGGGAGGATGCCCCTGGATGTGTGCACTGTAACTTACCTCTAAGTATTATGCACGTGCTCATTGAATGCCCTATGTATGACCAATGCCGTTATAAACACTTCTCACTGCTTTATAAAGAACACCTTCCACTACACCTTGCCCTACTACTAGGGGACGAACCGCTCATTCTATACAGTTGTGTTTTTAATTTCTTCACGGATATCGGCCTTCTACACGGACTGTGATTTTACTTTCTGTCCTAAATCTATTGTCATATTGCTTACACTTAGACACATTCATGTTCATGGTATTATCATATATTTCGGTACTATATCTAAATTTTGGAACACGGCCCGGGAGAGACAGCCGACACTGATCTCATTGACAATTGCTGGATTGCGCTTCCCGCTCCCGCGAGTGAAGCCACCGGACGGCCATCTTGCTCGTAGAGGATGCGGATTTGCCATAGCGTTACAGAGCCTGGCGCCAGCGTGCTGAAGGCACGTTTTCTACTCGTTGGTCGTCACTTGTCGAATAAGATTCCTAAGACCCTGTGTAAGGGTTGAGACTTGCCGTTGAGAACACGTGGAAAATTTTACGAAAGCGCGGTGCAGCAGGAAAAAGCCACAAAAAATAAATGAAGATTTTGTACTACTGGTTTGATTGCAATAAACATCTAGTGAACAGAAAAAAAAAACAAAGAAAAGGCGCCACTGATGTTGCCTCCTTCCCCCCCCCCCCTTTTTCGTCGCCACTGGACACTGGATCAAGCTCATTTCTAGACCGCGAGTGCCGCAAGTTACATATACAGTCAGAGGAAAAGTTAAACGCTGCCCGGAGGTAATTACGGCTTCACGCACATTGCACTCGCAAAACACGTCCACACGGCGACGAAACGAATCTTGATCGGTATCCAAGCGTGCGAAGGCACAGAGACGCAGCACTTTGGCGTGCCAAGGAAGCTTTGATCAGGCCGCGAGACCGGTGACACTTGCTTTCGAGGAGTTGGGCCTTTACGCACGGCTTCACGCACATTACACTCGCAAAACACATCTACACGGCGTCGATTCTTGATCTGTATTCAAACGTGCAGAGGCACAGAAACACAGCACTTTGGCGTGCTAAGGAAGTTTTGACCCCGCCGAGAGACCGACGAAACTTGCTTTTGACGAGTTGTACCTTTTTCCTGCGGCACTGCGCTTTCGTAAAACTTTCCACGTGTTCACAACGGCAAGTCTCAACGGTAACACAGAGTCGTCAAACGCTTCTTCGGCGAATGACGACGCACGGGTAGAAAAGGTGTCTATAGCACGCTGGCAAAACCGCAGCAAAACGCTAGCAAAACTGCAAATCGTCTACGAGCAAGATGGCCGTCCGGTGGCTTCACTCGCGCTGCACCGAACAAGCGGGGAAGCGCGATCTAGCAATTCTCATTGAGATCATTGGCCAAGGTGGGAACTCTCGAGCCTTCTCGTCATATTTGACGGGATTTTACGGGAACAACTACCGAAGCCGGCGCCGCCGCCGCCGCCACCGCCGCTTGAAGGAAATAGATGTAAACACAACCCGCTCGTCGCCGCCGCCGCCAGGAGCGAATTCGTTCCCGCGGCAGCGGATTTTTTCTCAGGTGTAAACGTATCATAAAGTGGGTTTCACATGCAGCTATTAGTTTGGCCCCAGAGCGGCGTGGTTTCTGCCGTTGCGGCGCTCTGGCCAGCCACAGCGGCTGAGCGGCACGGTTCCACCAGGTTAAAAAATGTTTCGTCGCGGCAGAGCGGTTTCCGCGCTGGCCACTCACAGCATGGCGGAAAATCACGTGACTGGAGAAGAAACATTGCGGGAAAGCTGGAGCATAGAACGGCGTTGTTTTCACGTTCTTGAACCAGACGACAAGCAAAGTACGAAAGCGACTGGTTTGCGGTTTCTTTTTTCCAGCGGGTCGAGCTTCTTTGCTTCAGCAGTCGCGTCGGAACTGTTCAGGAGATTATAGAGGAGGAGGACTGCCGTCCTCTTCCTCGGATTTCGTTTTCTGAATGAATTACGCGGCTCTTTTTTACTTTCCTCGCCTGAGTACCAACTGCAGCTACAATGGATGAACAATATGACCAAAGGTACCCTTCAAGTCTCCGTGGATGGACATACTCCGGATCATGACCAGATACCCTCCTTTCGGAAATACGAACTACTCCAACGCCGTCCAGAAGGTTCGAGTCGGCCATATCAGGTGGAGTCTTTACATCGTTTACATCCGAGGAAGGCGCTGCCCGTGACGCTGTCGAGGATGATCCGAGGTTTCATCCTCGGCGACAACGAAATGTGTAGAAAAAAGCAACAAATAAGGGCAAGGCTTAATTAGTATTTCAAACGATTTTTCTTTTGTATATTAAGGAGAAATGAAAGGAAAAACCGAAAACTAAGGCATTAAAGTTGTTGTTAAAATCCGCTGTAACCGACTGTGCGCAACTGCTTGCTGCAGGCACCATGGGTCATCGCAAAGGCAGAACACGCTCATATGAAATGAAACCTCGCGATCCGTGCCGCCGCGCCGCTAGATTTCGGCCGGGCAATCGCTGCATGTGAAACCCGCTTAACTGCACTTTGAAGGATGAAGAAACTTCCTTGGCGTTTTCCGGACTCACTCGTGACAAGCGAGGCAGATCGCATCGCACAGAAGTATCGTCAGCGCGCCGACGTGGCGCATCACTGAACTCGCAGAGCCATAGGCACTTGTTCTCTAAACGTTTTCAAAGAACTCGATCTTTTTGTCCGAAGCGCTGACACGCAAACGGAGCGCCGATTGTGTCGGAGCAGTCGACGCTGCGGTGGTTAGGCTGGACAGGCCGCGGTAAACGTTCCTACGCTGGTGTTCTTCGCTCGCTTTTGCGCCGCTTGATTAAAATTTGTTCTTGCTTCGATAGTTCCAAACGGAAAAATAGCGAATTTAAGTGTTGTCAATCGCAAATAAAATCTGTAAGACACAAACAGAGCCGCTGTCCCGAGTGACGATCTCTCGAAAACGGCTGATATTCGGGTAAACCTGCAGTGTTTTGAGGCACTGCGAGTTCGTCAGACACGTTTTATTCCTAATTCGTCATTAAAATATCGCTTTAATTATTTTCTACTTATGAAAGTAGGATGTCTGAGGATAAGGAAAGAATAAAAATAAAAATAGATTATTTCCAATATGAACTTGATTTTGCAATGCTCATATTTTAATCATGACGCATGGACAGCTTAATTCAGTACCGGCAATGAGTTCGGGGAACAAATGGGAGTTCAGAGGACCAAATGCTGCCGTTAGTCCTTTGAGACCATCTATTTTTTTTTAGAGTGTAGTGTTTTGTTTCCCAATACTTAATTAGAAGAGAGCATTCACTGAACAGATTACTCTTCCTAACGTCTAGAGCACGGTCGATGAAGACGGAGCTGTGTCTGAACAGAGCCGGTTCGTTATGGAACAAGTGTGGCGATGGTTCACTCGCATTTCTAACGAACAGTGTGAGGTGGTGATACACAACTCGGAAAGTAAGAAGTCAACGATAGCCGCTCGAGGAACCGTTCTTATTCGCCCACATGTCTAAAGGGCCACGTGGCACACCACCACGCCGTCACGCAGTCCCCTAAACCGACGGTTTCTTTGCCGGAAGATGTGCGCCGAAGCCCGAGCAAACATGTTTTCGCCTTGGCTGGCTCTGTTCAGACACCACTATCTCCTTCCACGTGGTCTGGTGTCTCCAGAGAAAAAAAAAAAATTCGCAGCAGCTTTCCAAGAAAGCAGCAACGGGTCGGAAGAAGCCATGCATTTCACATTCTCGTTTCAAATGTATAAGATAAACCTAAGCTTTCTAGAGGGGTCTAGTTATCTGACTTACCAAATAGATAGGAACGACGATGATGTCACGTCTCGGACGATTACTGTGGTCTGGTGCTGGCCTCGCCGGGGAAGCTCCTTGGCACAATTCTCCGGTTTCACCTTTGTGATTCGTGCATCTCCGCTGTGGATTGCTGGCTGTTTTGCAAGTGTCAAGCAGCAGCGTTATATCATTCAGCCGTGTCACGTCGAGCCGCCGAGAAGCACTGGCAGAGGTACGCATTCATCCGCTGGAGCTATACGTTTATAGGCTTGTCCCTAGTTAACAGCTACGTGAAAATATTTCTGGTGGAGTATCTTTTAACCACGTGATTTACAGCTTACTCGAATATATGCGTGTTGTGATTATACTCGTAAAATGGGGTATATTAAGTAACAAGCATAAACATCTCCTTATTTGGTGTTACGATTCTAGTCGTCGTTCAAACATTTTTCATATATCATCCCGTCTCCTGTGTATTCAAAACGTTTGTTAACTAAAGACAAAATATTGGAGTGCCCAAGTTTTTAGCAATATTGAACAAAGTTCTAAATTTTAAAAAGCGTAATGACAGCGTGGTGGTAAAGTTCCTTAAATACAACCTAAAATAAAGTGCATGAAAGCAAAATGCCCATCTATGTCTTTCAACGAAGTTTTTTGAAGAAATATGGTCGCATCTGGAAGTTTATTTTTTGCAAACTCGAATTCGACTTTTCCTTCCTTTAAGGAGAGACCATATCATATTGCTGGTTGCCGTTAATTTTAATGATTACTCGACTAAAACACTATGAGATTGGTGATGCCAATCTTAGAAATAACGTATGTGATTGCTCTACTGAATAGAGAGGTCCGAATTAGCTTTTCTGTTTCGTAACTCCGCAGGCAAGGGCAGAGGGGAACTCCAAGCTTAACTACTACTGTCCCACTACATTGCCAGGTATTTTGTCCAATACCATTTGCTTTCGTCAGACTTCGATATAAAGCTGTCTAAACTTGACAGTCATTTCTCAAATATTGTTCCTTTTGTTTTTTCCACAGGGAGCCATGATGTTGGGCCGTCTTGCAGCGCTTCTTGTCCTTGTAGTATCTTGCAAAGCCCAAGAGGAATTGAAGCTGACCCTGGCCAACAACCGCTTCGGTCTTCGGCTATTCCACGCTCTGCCAAGTGCTGCGGAAGTCAATGTCTTCTTCTCGCCTTACAGCGTTTCGACGGGCATGGGGATGACGTACGCTGGAGCCAGGAGAGACACAGCAGAGGAACTCTTCCAAGGCCTGGGTTACTCAGCGTCCGGACTTACGGCTCCGCAAGTTTTAGACTCGTACGCCCGCCACACTCAGCGGCTCTTGTCTTCAGAGTCGCAATCAACCCTCAAGGTTGCCAACGGTGTGGCTATCTAGGAGAATCTGACCCTCCTGGACTCGTTCCGGAACACGCTGGAAAGCTCCTTCAACGCCGAAGTGTATCAAGTTGACCTCGTGCATAGGCAACAGGACGCCTTCGAATTCCTTAACCGATGGGTAAAACGAAAAACGTCAGATAAAATTGACAAACTATTTGACGAGCCTCTTTCACCGTCGACAAAGCTTGTCTTGCTGAACGCCATTTATTTTAAAGGCGTATGGAATACGCAGTTTCACCGGGACTTCACTCAAAAGAGGCAGTTTTGGAACGGTGGCGTCTCTCCTACCCTAGTCGACACCATGATGCAGAATATGTACGTTGGCTACGGCTCTTTCGGCGACTTAGATGTGGACGTTGCTGAACTGCCGTACCGCGGTCGTGACTACAGCATGGTCATCCTGCTACCAAAACGAAACAATGGTGTTGACAAACTCAAGGGGAACCTCACCGTGGAAATTATGAGGAGTCTACTCTCCGAACTTCGAGAGCGGGATGTTGTCGTCTTCTTACCAAAGTGAGTATATCTTATTTAGAACAACATCACCAGGTCGGTGAGCTGTTTGTTATTTGATATACTAAAACCAGAGGCAAAAAAGACGGCAAACTCAACGTCTCAATCTGACTTGTCGAATAAGCTTTCGCGTAGCTAATTTTAGACTATATTAACGTACAGAACGTGAAATCTTGAAGTAGTGACTGTCAATGTCTTTAGTTTTGTTGTTAAAGCGACGAAATGACCCGTAAGAGATATCTTGAATATGGATTTCTGCTTATAAAACCCTTAAACAACAAGAAAACACGAGAAAAAAAAAAAGGGGCAACACAATGCCGTCTCAAAAGCTTGGTTTTGAGACGTCGCTGTGTTGCTCATTTTTTGTTGTCCTTGTCTCGGTGTTTTATCAGTATGACCTTTCACCAGCTAGCCTGCGCTACTACCCTTACTTATTTAATTAATTTTTGTCCTTCCTAGCTTGATAGATTTGATTAAAATGTTTTTCTATTAGCGTTACGCTTTGAATTTGGAATTTACAGGAAATGAAATAAAAAATAAACGCCAGCCAGTTTTGTGTTTAGACGTTTTTATCCTATTACGGGAGAAAAAAAGAACAAGAAAGAACACTTTGTATGTTTCGTTGCAATCATACCCAAGTATACAGATCATTTGTAGCTCGACGTCAACAATCAGAAAACTGCCTCTGGTTAGCAGGATTAAATATATTTTTATTTTACTATATAAAGACCAGAACGCGTGCTGTTTGCTGTAAAGATGAGAACACTGCCAGCAATAGCGTGAGATATGTCTTCTGGTTGGCAAAACTCTCACTTTTCATGTTAAAACTTATGGGCAACCTGGGGATTCATAGCGCTAGACCAATTTTGCCGCATGCTAATTCGGCCGCGGTCATTTCCACCGCGAGGGAGGTCCGCCGTTGATAAAAGGCCGTCGCAGCGTACGCGCGGGGGCTTGCTGAGTCGCGGCGCGGGGGAGAACAGTGAATCAATGACTACGTGTGGTTGAACCAGTGCGTTGTGTCATTCTCCGATACGGGTAGCAACGAGGAAAATCCTACAAACTCTACCGTCTCATACACTGATCTTTCCGAACGAAATTTCTTCGAGCAGGTTCAAACTGGAGAGTACATACCAGCTGGAAGGCCCCTTGAAAGCCCTAGGAATAAGGCAGATCTTCAGCAATGGCGCCGACCTGTCCGGAATCAGCGACAGAAATTTGCGCGTCTCGGCCGTCGTCCACAAGGCGGTTCTGGAGGTGAGCGAAGAAGGCAGCAAAGCGTCTTCAGCCACGGGTTTCCTCGTCGAGCCCGGCAGTGGCATGCCGGTGGAGTTTGTCGCTGACCATCCGTTCCTCCTGTTCATACGGAACACGAGAACGAACGACATAATCTTTGCTGGTCAAGTCAACAAGCTGTAGAATGCGTGGTGCAATAAAATGATTCAAACTTTTTACGGGGGCCTTTATGTTTGAAGAAGGTGTCTAAGAAGGTTGCACATCTGCTAATTAATATATTGCGGTTGAATTGAAGATACAAGAAGATAATGCTAGAAGAGGGACAAGGAGTAAAATTTTTACTGTTTTGAATTGTTTCTTGTGGGCGTGGAAAGTTTAAGTTTATTTATATATCAGGTTCAAAGCTCCCGGATATGCAATCAGTCATGCCCAAGAAACCAAAACAGATATTTGACAATTTTCTAAAATGACCTGAGGAAGGGTGGAGAACAAGAAAAATCCAAAATGGAAGATACACTGTAAAAATCAATCACTTTCGAGCCGTTGCCTTTTGTCCTTTCTTCTTCTGCTTTGAATTCTTCTCGTTTTCCACCCATTGTCGGGTGGTTAAAGAAAATGATAAATCTACACCAGCTCGCCTGGACCATCATTTGTTTTCGTAAACATTTTCTATTTTAATAATTTAAGCCCCTTGACTCACTTGTTTTCAGTTTATTAAAATATACCTTTTTTTTAGAGGCTGCTTGCTTAGAACGTTTCGCTCTAAGAGACACACGTTTTGCCGTAAGCATTTGCAAGAAGAAAGCAATCAATACTGATGTCGTCACACACGTGCCAAAACAGTCGCGGGGCAAGGTTTCAGCGAGGGCACCTTAATAACCGGTTCATTGCCGGCGGTCACCGCAAGCGCCCATTCAACAATCCGCCCTCACAGAGACGAAGCTGGGACGCGTGCTTCCTATATATATTTTGAACGTGTATCCCATCAATCGATTCACACGACTGCCTTCCATTAAAAGGTGAGTACAGTTTTGAAAACATCGTTTAGACCTAACGATGAGCTCCTCGATCGCTCTCGAATTCCCGACAAACGAGTTGTTTTTGCATACATTTTTAGAGTTATCACCAATATTAAGTGACTTTGGTTTGCGCCTGCAATGAGTGCGTGGACTAAGTGCACAATGAGAATGGGACAATGCGGAGACTGTATTTTCATAAGTGAACGCCCTGTGACACCGCTTCACGGTATCGTTTGTGCACAGCATCCCGCGTCGCATTCTTACGGCCAAGTCCTATCGGGAAAACAATCCACTAATGATGCTCGTAGAAATGCCATATCTACTTTCTCGCTAAGCTTTTCTGTGTTTTGAATACCAGTTATTGGCGAGAAAAGAACATACCCATGAACAAGTGATCGTATACCGCTGAAGATTTACCCCTGTCGTTTATAAAGCTGCCTTTTGTAGTGTCGACGAGATATGTTGGCCTTTTGTTCGCCACGTGAGACATACTGGGCGGCAATCACGCCCATTATTTTACAGCGGAGCTTTTAAGGGCTAGTTTCCCCGGGATCATGTTCGGTAGCGAACAAATGTTGACACAACACTCTGGTTGCCACCGTCGCTCATAGATGGCGGTAGCTGTCCAGAGTGTTGTGTTTGCCGGTTGTCTGCTTGCGCCGTCGCCAAAAGATCACGGCAACCTTTCCAGCCTTTGCACTCTGGCTTGCCGACTTGCGGACGGTCGTTACTTCATTCCCACCGTAGTACAGCTTCACTGGTCTTCTTCGCCGGCGTGGAAAGGCTGGAATTTTTTTTTTTGTATGTGTCAAATTTGGGGCAATTTTTTAGTGTTTTTTTACTAAAGGAGGTTTAAGAGATAGATTACAGCAAATCACAATGTAAATGTTTTTTTTTTCTTTCCAAACGCAGGGTACAACACGATGAGGGTCATTTTTGTGATCCTGCCATTCTGCGGCGTTGTCCTCGGCGAAAAAGACAAGCTAACTACAGCGAACAATTATTTCGGCATCCGGCTTCTTCAGAACCTACCAAGCAGCGGAGAAGAAAACTTATTTTTTTCACCTTACAGCGTGTCTATGGCGATGGGAATGGCTTACGCTGGCGCTAAGGGTAAGACACAAGAAGAGCTGCTGAGGGGCCTGGGTTACTCTCAGTCAGGGCTAACCAGAGACGAAGTCCTTGACGCACACGTTCGCCATAGCCAAAAATATCTGCCTGGTGCTTCCAACACGACGATTAACGTGTTCAACGGAGCGGCTGTCGACGAAAGTCTTAGTGTCCTACCCGCCTACAAAGAGGCCATCAAGAACGTCTTCCAAGCGGAACTGCACAAGGTCGATTTTAAACAGAAAGGACAGGAAGCTGTGGACATAATCAACGAATGGGTCAAAAGCAGGACGCAGCAGAAAATCCAGAAACTTTTCAGCGAGCCGCTTGGCCCCGACACGCGGATGGTCTTGCTCAATGCCATCTATTTCAAGGGAGTGTGGAGCACGGGCTTTAATGAGGAGCAGACCAGAAAGCGGCGATTCCTCAATGGTGGACTCACTCCTACCGAAGTCGACACGATGCAAGGTGTATTCCACACGCATCACAACTTTTTCGATGATTTGCAACTCGATGTGATCGATCTGCCTTACAGTGGCCACGACTACAGTATGACCATCCTGCTGCCTCGCAAGAAGGACGGAGTGGAAGCCCTCAAAAGAAACCTCACACTGAACCTTTTTGAACATCTGGTCGCAGAACTAAGGGAGAGAGACGTATACCTTACCCTGCCGAAGTAAGTAGCTCGATTTGTTACGCACATGTTGCTTAGATTGTAAGTAATAACATCCTGAAACATGGTTCCTTTCCGTTCCGTACGAGGTAGGGTTTTCTGCACGTGGCATAAAACTTTACTTCCGCCACTTTATTGACGTCACAAAGAAAAATATATGTCAGCAGACCATGCAACTAACGTTTAAGCCCTTAAACCTGGAGTGACTTGGTTAAGATAACTTAATGGAAGTAGTTTCACTCGGAGTGTTCGTGTCTGTGTTCAAGTGTTTAGGCGTTTAATTCCTCGTTGTTGGAATGCACGAAGTTTCTTTTTTAACTATTTTTTTTAAATCGAGACGAAGATTTAATTGGAAAGGTTCGTGGAAACGTGAGTGTCTGGAGCAGGAATGGGCAGTAAGCTTAATATACAGTTACCCCAAAGTTTTCTGGTGTTCATAAAGACTTCGAGAGGGTTAAGTTCCTATTAAGTAATTATGGTGTTGTTTGACGCCCTATAATGTATTTTGCTTTTTTCTACCTTTCCTCAAGGTTCAAGTTTGAGACAGAATACTCACTCAAGGAACCTCTGACTAACCTGGGCATAAGGAACATCTTCAGCGATGGCGCCGACCTGTCGGGCATCAGCGACCACGAGGCGCTGCTCGTGTCGAGAGTTGTCCACAAGGCAGTCATTGAGGTTAATGAAAAATACAGCGAGGCGGCAGCCGTCACAGCCGTTGTTGTGACCCGTATTGTTGGCGGAGATCTGACAGCCCACGTTTCCGTTGACCACCCTTTCCTCTTTTTCATACGGAACAAAGACACGAGTGACATTCTCTTTGCGGGACAGGTGAACAAACTCTGAGTGAATAAAGACGTTACTGAAGCGTAACAAAGCAAGCAAGCAGCAAAGTCTGGTTGAAAAAGAACACAAAAATAAAACTTAGAAAGTTTCATCCAAGCAGAAATCTTAACCAAATAATGTTTATAAAAAAACTTTTTTTTATTATTATTATTTTCTTTTAGCGAGGCGTCAGCTACCATCTTGAGATTTTGGATATGAATATTTTTTGTCGGGTTTTTGTTAAACGTCATGGAGTGTTTATTTTTTGTCGGATTAGTTTTGGTGAGGTATTAATAGCGTCACTCATGACAAATTGCGCTGTGAACGATCTCACTGGATGATACATATATGGACAGAGGTCAACCAACGTACCAACCAAGTTGGCCGAGAAGTGTGATTCATACGCAAGGGTCCCAAACTGGTCTTTTGCAAGATCGCCAAAGAAGTCTCGGGTGCTTCGTTTTTTTTCTATGTGCCCTTTGGATTACGATACGAATAAAAATGCAGTGTTGATTACATTCAAATTGAATTTAGGAAAATATAACTGTTCAAGAAAATCAGCAGTGCATTCTTAGTAACGGGATGCTGGCGATGTGTGCCACCCATTGCGTTACTGTGGTTAGTCGTTTTGTGACCACCCAGGAGTAAAGAGGAGAGTACCCTATTGAAAATTTCATCAAGATACGTAATTTGGGACACTGACTGCCAGTCAGCAGCCTTGGTAGAACGTGCCCTGATGGTCCACCAGATGACGTGTGACTGCCACTGCCAAGGGAATTTCATCAACAAGGGCAGCATTTATATAAGAGTAAAGCTATACGCACTTATAAATATCGCCAAATGCCTCGACAAAACAAAGTGTTCGAGAAAAAATAGGAAGAAACAAAGCAGGTCCACCACGGATCGAACCCGCGTCCACTTACGTACAAAGCGGACACCTTAACCCCTACGCTATGCCATCTTCTTTTTTCTTTATTGCATGATGTAAGTCAAACGCATAAGTTGAGCATGCACACGCACATAGGCCACTAAAAGACCTCAGCCGACTTGGCTGACGTCGGGAACTGTTAAAAGTCCTTGAGGGCAGAGAGCCCATCAAGAAGAGGCAACCACTCTGGGGGTGGTTGCAGTGGCTTGAACATTTCCTTCAAGAAACACATGTGCTCTACAAAGTATTTATAAACAGGCCGCACATCAACATCTGCGTGTCGCACAGCCATGCGGCATCGCCATATGCTGCGCAGGCCGAGCAGCAGGAGCATGTCGAAAGAAATACCATTTTCATCTTCTACAGCTAAGTAGCGTATGCCATGTGGCGTTAATGAGGGGTCTTTTTTGAGGGTCCTTTGGAGGACATCCCAAAAAAAGACAGCGTCCCAACAGTCTAGAAAGACGTGTTCAACGGTCTCTTGCTTTTTGCAAAGGATGCAGTTGTCAGACCATGCAACTGGCAGGCCTTTTTCGACCAACCAGGCTTTGACTGGAAGCGTCTGACTGTGCAGCTTGAAAAAGAAGGTTTTCACGTTCGGGGGCACCAGCATTCTTTTGACACGTTTTAACACGTCCTGCCCAGGGCCTGCACTATACAAAA